CCACCAACCTCCACATTTCACAGCAGCCCAGGCTGCCCAGGGCCCCATCCAACCTGGCCTTGAACACCTCCAGGGATGGACGGGGCATCACAGCCTCTCTGGGCAGCTGTTCCAGCACCTCACCACTCTCATAGCAAAGAACTTCCCCTGACATCCAAACTCCATCTTCCTTCCCTCAACTTCAAGCCATTTCCCCTTGTCCTGCTGTTATCTACCCTTTCCAAGAGTTGACTCTCCTCCTGTTTGTAGGCTCCCTTTAGGTATTGGAAGGCTGAATGTGAGATCTGAAATCCATGCAACTATTTTTATTTGTGAAACATGCCCGAGCACCGACCACGAATAGAATAGCATGGGAGAGGCTCTGGAAACAACTCTAAAAGCAGAACGGATATCAGTGGAACACAAGACACCAGCTTGATGTAAAGAGTTGTCACATCAGTACCTTGCATGATAAGCTCTAAGCGATGCTCGGGCTTTTCTTACCAATCCCATCAATATTTCCAGCACAAAAGCCTAACCTCCCACACTTCCAAGTGCTGTGGCACACCTATATGTATATATTTCTCTCCTTTTAACCTTTAGGACCAAATCCAAATGGCACAGCTTAGCTGGAAACAAGGAGCCAACAGCTTAATGAACAACACCCAAAATCCCACCTCACTCCAAGGATTTGAGGAGCTCACGTTTTATCCGAACTGCTCAAATTGTGCCCACAGTGCCTGACCTGAGATGCCACTGCATTGCTGCAGACCCCTGGCTTACCCATCTCCTGCCTTAAGACACACCAGACTGACAAGCCATGTGTCCACCCCCAGTTACCCACCACTGGAGAAGAAACCCTCCAGAAGGTGCTCCCTGTTAATATGTCTCCTCCATGAGATGGGAGAGGATGGGCTGTCCAGTCTCAAGTCTACATTCTTGCTGAAGACAGAACAGAAATAAATCCCAGTGATTTCTCTGTAGTGAGATGTTTTGGTTTCATTGTTCCCACAGCTCTGTCTTTCAGACTTGCCTGCCTCAGGTCAATATGGGAAGGTGAAATAAAGCACAGAAACCTGTTCTTACCCTTAATCATCTTTGCCTCTCCCCAGTGGGCTCCTTCTAGGAAACCTCTGTCCTTTTTCATCAGGGGGTCCCAGAACTGGACACAGCCATCTATTTGAGAAGAACCATCCTCCAAATGCCAATGACTGCATCCCCACTGAGAATTAAATCATAGAATGGCTTGGATTGGAAGGGACAATAGAGATCATCTAGATCATCTAGGCCACCTAGCATGACATGGGCAACCTAGTTATGGACAGTATAGTAGGATCCAGATGTCAGCATCACTGGGAATGCCCTACAGCCCTTTGGCTCACAGTCCATCCTGGTACAGGTCCCACAGTATGCTCTGGCATCCAAAATAGCAGCTGCGACCATGGAGGTGAATCCCAGTAGTCTCTGCTAAAGGTGGGAGTTGCAGGGAGGTCTCCCACGTGCTCCATGAGGCATTAGTAACATTATAAAACCCCAAGCTTACCCAACAGACCTCAATTTCTGTTGAGGTTTAGTAACAGTGAAGTGCCCTGCTGATGGCATGCAGGTCTTTCAATCAGCAGCAGGGACACAGAAAAACAACCTGCAAAGCCTCCTGATGCCATAAAGTCTACTGGCAGCTAGGCAATTCAGGTTAAATTTAGCCTGCAGTACAGAGGTCACGTCAGTCGCCGAGATCATAAAAAGAAAAGAGAATAAAAAGTCCTGTGTTGTGCAGGCTTTATGTAATGCCAGTGCTGCTCTCAATAGAGAGGTGAACCCTGCAGCTGGGAAACGCACCCAGCTCGCTCCTGCCACTGCCTCCTGGCATTAAAATAAAGGAACAATGAAAGGAAAGGATTACATTTGCTCAGATGGGCATCTCTTTACCCCTCTGTACCATACCTGTCTAGGCAGACCAGGCTGGTGGAGGAGCTGCACGTCTCCCAGTTCTGTTCATGTGGACTCACATGTATTTTTTGACTCTTTGTACTATTTTGGGGCGCAAGAAAGCAGCTCCTAAGTGGTCAAGTCCAGGGCTGATGTTAGAGACAAGCTTGACTGATCTTCAGATACTTTCTGTGCAGCTGCTGGACCTTCTGCTGGGATTACTGTGCAGTCAGACCACCACAGCCCAGCTTCTTGTTGCTCTCCTTCCCTTGGTAGCAGTCATGGCAGATCTTCTTCCCGGTCTGCAGCAGGTGGCCAGCTGCCATTTACTTTTCATTGTGGCAGTGTGGCTCTTCAGCAGAAACTGCTCGTGGTCCTGCACTGTGCACCCTGCGTACCTGAGAGCATCTTCACTGCTCCCAGCCTGCTGGCAAGGCTGCACAAGCAGAGATGTGCAAAGAAGCGTCTCCTTTGGGCTTTGAGTTTGTTGTGACTTCCCTACATCCTTGTATCAACAAATAGGGGAAAAAAAAAAACCAAGTGGAAACTTTTGCTTTCCCTCTCCTTATCCCAAAGGATGCTCTGGCACCGGGCAGCTCTCTATGCTCATCCTACTATACCTCCACCCCGGTGGGGAGATTTCACCCTTGCAGAACTGGGTTGGGCAGAGCTGATTCCTGTCATGTTTTATTGCAGGGTAAAGTGGTGGAGTGCCCTTTATGGTGTTTTGAAAGGAAATTGTACAGGAACAATGTCCCAGGCAGTGTGGCTATTGAAAACCCTTCACAAAGGGAGTTTGCCACAAGAGGAAAAGCTGCTTAATCAGTCCAACTAATCACCGTAGGTGGTTGAGAGTCCCTGAGGGTCCGTAAAATCAAATAGAATGGGAAAAGAAATCTATCACAGCTTGCCTGCACTTCTCCTGGAGCCACCGGCGGATCCGGGACGCTCCCTGCCTGGCCCCGAGCCTGCGGTCACCATCCTCTGGGCTGTCCCCATGTAGCACAGCACTCTTCCCAACGGTGGGGATGTGAGGATGAGCCCTCGAGACGTCCTTCACCGGTGTGGTGGCCACGGGATGGGACGGTGGGGCTGGGGACAGTGAGCAGGGCAGGGTTGCCCACCCTCCCGCTGTCACCCCAGGTGACCTCGAATGGCTTTCGGCGTCTGCAGGGGGGGGTCAGCGGTGCTTACACAATTCTCAGGAAGAGGAAACTGTCCCTGACAGCCACCCGCAGCTCTCCGGGGAGGGAGGATATTTCTGCCTCCCCTAGATCTCTCCATCTCATTAGAAACAACACCCAAAAAAAAAAAAAAAAAAAAAAAAAAAAGAAAAGGCCCAAAGAAGAAAGAAAAAAATGAAACAAAGCAGCCAGGCTGTTTTTTTTTTTTTCCTGATCATTAAAGTGTAAAGCCAAGTTAAACGTAGGAAGCAAATTGGGACGGTGAGAGAGAAAATTAGGGGACGTTTCTGGAATCTCGTTATCAAAAGCAATAGGGGCACGCTGAGGAGAGATAGGGAAAGCTCCCACCCTCTGTACTGCGGGAGGTCTTTGGAAAGAGGAGATGAATAACTCACACCATCCTCTACGAGTCATTACCCTCCACTGCACAAAGGCAGACCACCAAGCCCCCACCAACAGCCAACAAGAGGCGACAGAACCAATGGGACGGCGACGGTGCCAACTTTTTTTTATGAGTTCCCATTCCCCAGCAACGTTCCCCTGGAGCAGTCTGCTTCCTGAGGTGGTGATCACAGAACAGCAGGGGTTGGATCTCTGAAGATCACCAAGTCCAACTGTCCCAGGGCTTTGGCTGGCTGGGCCCTCCATCCCCAGCCATATTGACCTGGGATGCCACAGAGTGGGTTGGGTTGGGGTGGAATGGAGGACAGGGCTTGAGAGAATGAGTCTGTTGTTCTCCATATCACAGCTCTGTGGAGGTCAAACCAAACAGCCTCTGCTGTTGGCTGGGAAGGGTGGGTCTTGTAGCAGCAAATGGCAGGTTAGCATTTGGGACAAGAAAAAAAAAAAACAACCCAATGGTAGCCAGGAGCTGCTCTCATGGATATCTGTGGCTGATATCAGTCTGTCACCTAAAATGTGCCAAGCAGACCAAAGTCAGCATTCCTCGGGTGCAGCCTGGTTCAGCACCTTTAATCTAATCTCCCTGTCTCTTCTATGGAGCAAATGAAGCACTCACTCCATGGCAAAACTAAAAAATTACTCATGTAATGTAAAACCCTGGGTTCCCCTAATCCAGCTGTGCCCCTGGGATGTCACCCTGCCACTCAGATATTTGTTCTGGGGTGGTACCTTGCCCCACATCTCCCAGCAGCAGCCCAAGGCAGCTCTTTCCAGTCCAGAAGGCATCATACCTCAGTACAGAGAAGAGACCCTCATGTTACTAAATATGCAACTTAAACAATTATACCATTAAATTAACTCAATAGGTTGAAAACACCATTGGCACAGGAACTCAGCTGCATGCCTTGTTAGCACATCCCCTCCTTAACGCAGACGTCTTGCTGCAAGCCCTGCTTGACCCATTCTGAAAGCGTTCCGTGGAAAGAGAGGAAGCAAGCCACAAGATTCAAAGCCTTTACAGACAACACTTTGCTGTTGTCTCTTCTAAAGGAAGTGTGGGGGTCTGCCTGTGCTGGAATATATAGTGCTGTGTCAGATGGACGCTCCATTTCCCAGGCCTTAGTGCTCCCGGAGCATGAGAGCTGCTAAACAGCAATATTCACAGAAACACAGAACCACAGAACTACAGAATGGTTGGGGTGGAAGGGACTTGGAGATCATAAAGCCATACGTCGGTTGTGTTGAAAGGGAGCTTGAGGATCACAGAACCGTAGAATGGTTGGGTTGGAAGGGACCTTGAGGATCATAGAACCATAAAAACGAGTTGGACTTGGGGGGATCTTAAAGCCCCCCAGGTCCCATGTCTGCCATGGTCTGGCTGCCCCATTCATGGCACTGGCATCTCCAGGGATGGAAGTGTCCATAGACATTCCACGAGACAGCGGGGAAAGATGTGCAACAGGGAGGAAAAGGCTAAAAAGAATTTTAAAGAGAGGTTTTGCTTACCGCCTGTCGTTTCTCCTCCTTCTGAACAGCTTTTTGGTGTGTGCGATTTCAGCTTCATGAGGCAGCGGGTGGTAACCCTGGAAAAGAGGGAAAAGCAATGTTCAGCTCCAGGATACAACAGGCAGTGACTGAGCCCCTGGGGAAGGGATGAGTGCCATCCACCGATTGGGCTGACCAGGGCAGTAGATGTCTTGCCCAAAGCAAGCTGGAGGCAGAGGTGCAGTTTCCCCACCTTGTCCTCTCCCCAGTGAAGGTCACCCCATGCTCATTTGTTGTTGGTCTGGTCAAGTGAACTCCGTATTACTGCCTTACTACAAGCATCATGGGGCCTCATTAATGTGAGCAAAGAGTTCTGAGGTTCCTGGAGGAAAGTGCAAAGCATTATTTATTTTCCAGGGACTACAGAGCTGTCATAACTGCAATGATTTTTATTTATGTAGCATTGTATTTCCCAGGCTGGCAATAAAAGCCTCGTAAAACTCACTCCTTCTACTTCCATAGCGATCTGTCTTATCCTTCAAGCTGGTGAATCAGCCTGGACATTACTGAAAAGAGCCTGGAAATCCTTGATGTCAAGCTGCTTAAAATTATATTGCAGCTTTTCCATTACTGCCCACTGCGGTTTGCGCCCTTCTCACCCATCTGGTCACTATTTTATTTTATTTTTTTTTGCCAAATGCATTAGAGGAGCTTAAGCCTCAGAGACCTTTGCTCCTCTGAATCACAGAATTGCTCAGGTTGGAAAAGACCTGCAAGATCATCAACTCCGACCTCAGCCTAACCATGCTACCCTAACTCTGACGACCCACCACTAAATCATGTCCCTGAGCACCATAACCAATGTGCTTGCAGTTAGCTGATGATACCAAAGCGACTGGGAAAAGGAAAGGAGGGAGCAGACCCACTGCCCAGTCTTACCAGCTGTAGTTATTTAAGAAACAAGGCAAAAAAATAGCACAGTACTCAGAGAGACTGCTTCCAAATGTTTCGCTATCACAGCTGAGCTTGGGGTATTTTTAAGAATTTAAACTGCATGTCAGAAGCATGTGCAAATACAAACACCCTGAAAACTGAAACTACTTCTGCAAAGCATGAGCACACAAAGTGCCAATTTCCTACAAGCTGCCACTACATCTCAAGAGCTGCATTCTTGTTCGTTCCAAGCAGAAACTATAGGTAAAGTGGTGCCACGCTGCTCCTCCTCATCCCTTGGGCATCCAGAGGGTGTGAGAGATGGGTTAATTCTATGGGAATACATCTCCCAGCCCAAAGAGGAATGGATTAACTCCATGGGAATACATAGTCCAACCCAAGGAGGGGTGGGTTACTTCCAGAGGAAGATGTCACCCAGCCCAAGGAAGGGTAAGTTAATTCCAAGGGAATATGTCTCACAGCCCAACGGGAGATGGGTTAATCCCATGGGAAGATGTCCCCCAACTCAAGGAAGGATGGATTAATTCCAAGAGAATGCATCCTGCAGCCTAAGGAGGAATGAGTTAATTCAATGGGAAGATGCCCCCCACCCCAAGGAGAAATGCATTAATTCCATGGGAAGATGTCCCCCAGCCCAAGGAGGGATGGGTTAACTCAATGGGAATGCATTCTCCAGCCCACGAAGGGGTGGGTTTATTCCATGGGCATCTTCCAACCCAAGAAGGGGCATATTAATTCCATGAGAATGCACCCCCCAATCCAAGGAGCCTGAACACAAAGTGCCCATGAGGAGAAGCAGGCGTCCCGCTCCCAAGCTGAGTGGTTCCCTTCTTTAGTCCTAGGCATGAGACAATGTTTTGAAAAAAAAAAAAAAGAAGTCACAGGTCCCTACTCTTGTCTATTTCAGTGCTTAAGGAGAGCTAAATTTGGAAGGGAGAAAAGTCAACTTTTTTTTTGTGTGTGTGTGTGTGTGCAGGGAGCTGATGTAAAAGGAAATATCGGCGACTTCCAAGGAGGGTGGAGTGCCTGGAGAAGGCGAGGGCATGGGTTGGGTGCAGGCCAGAGTCCCAAGGGCACGGCACACACTTTTATGACATCTGCGTGTTCTTCACTTTGTCTGCAGGCTGCTCCCCAGTGCAGGTTGTGCAGTGCAGTGCTGGAAGCTGAATTGGCTCACTGAGGACAATGTGGGTCTGCTATGGCTCTTCCAATTCCATAACATATTCCGAGTTGTGCTTGCAACTCTGTGAAGGTGAAACCCAAGGGCAGAACCAAAGAAACAAGTTTTGCAAGGCAGAAGGCCACCCTGTGCCCTGCTATGGGTCCACAAGAAGACCTACAGACGAGAGGCATTCTTTGCTCCTGCCCAACCCAGAGATGGTTTGCAGCTTGTCAGTGGGCAGCGAAACTGCATTTGGTCTCCAGACCACCATGGTTTTATTTTGATATTCGATCACATGTGGCTTGAGAACATAACATTTCAGTGCCACCAGTTCTGGGAGTGAGAGGTGTGGGAAAAGAAAAGAACAGGGAGCCCATGGTCTTCAGAACCACCACTAGTAGGGGTCATGCTCAGTTTGGAGCAAAACAGTCCGTGGTTTACACGGTGGTCAACTTGGAGAAGAACCTGAGAATCCCATGGGACTTCTCGTTTATGTACACATACGTCAAATTTGAATTCCACATGTAAGGAAGACTAGCAGCTCTGTGAGAAAAGGGTCTCTTGGCCAGTCCCCTGGAGATCAGCTTTCTTGTGATGGGATGTTCATTCTGATGTCTTTGCAAAAGTGGCTCTTAGAGAAGAGGTGCTAGCCTCTGGCAAGCACTTCTCCGTATGGCCTGATAGTGACAGGACAAGGGGGGGGTTGGTTAAGGGCTGGGGGCTGTGAGGACCTTGGATCTCTTCCAACACAACCATTCTGTGATTCTACGGTTCTATGATCTTCAAGGACCCTTCCAACCCAACCATTCTGTGATTCCACGGTTCTACGATCTTCAAGGACCCTTCCAACACAATCATTCTATGATTCCACGGTTCTATGATCTTCAAGGACCCTTCCAACCCAACCATTCTGTGATTCCATGGTTCTACGATCTTCAAGGACCCTTCCAACACAATCATTCTATGATTCCACGGTTCTATGATCTTCAAGGACCCTTCCAACACAATCATTCTGTGATTCTATGGTTCTATGATCTTCAAGGACCCTTCCAACACAATCATTCTGTGATTCTATGGTTCTACGATCTTCCGGGTCTCTTTCAGCCCAGACATTCCATGGTTCTATGATATTTAAGGTTCCTTGAATACAACACAACCATTCCATGATTCACTGTTTCATCTCTGTTGTGTTCACATGTGCCTAACACAGCCTGACTCCCAGAATTGAGATCTGACCCCATGAAGTGACCTTCTTCACCCCATAAGCCCGCTCAGACCTGCAGAAGATGCTCACAGCTCTGAGACAGCCGAGCATTAAAAGGTGACCCAACGATGAAAGAAACAAAAGGCTGAGAAAAGCAGGACAGATGGAAAGAAAAACAAGGCTGGTGCAATGGGAGAAGGAAAAAAAATGATCTGATTGTATCAGACCACATGAGATTTGTCTCAAGAGCCTTCGTGCCCTCAAGAAACATCTCCACCCCTCCTTATCTTAAGCAAACGGTGGCAGAAGGCCTGGGCTGAGCAAACAGGTCGTTAGGCTGGCAGTGCATGCCGGCAGCTTTGCTTTGTTTTATTGCACCCCAAGCTCAGGGTGGGATTTGTTTTCTGAGGCGGTGGGAAGCGATGGGTGGGGTTGGATTTATGGAAGATGCAGCCATCTCCCTGCATGACAGCAGCAGAAATACTGTGGCTAGAGGCAGGATGAAAAAATAAACAAATATTGTACTTCCAGAAACACACAAAAATCATGCTTGCAATGTGTCACAATCAGGCTTTCATCCATGAATATGATGGATCATTTGCTGAAGATATGGGAAGTCTGGGACAGCACAGAGATGCAGATGTATTTATTTCAATTTTATTGTGCCAACTCCATGCTCTGGTGCTTCAAGGGATTGCATATGCCATCACTGAGCTCACCCAGAAAAAAATGCTTTTAGAGTCAGGCTACACATGGGATGCATGATGGGAGCAAGAGGTGCCCTCATGGGATGAGTGGTGTGGGGACCGACCCCATCACCATGGCTAGCATTGGCCACGACTGCTGGCACTCTCAGCAAAGTCATCTCCTGGCAGAGTGCTCGCCTGGACCTCTTCCCCTTCCAGGAATTCCCACTCAACCAGCCTGCCATCCTCTCTCCTCTCTGACACGAGGGGAATTTTCTGCCTCTTGAAAGAAAAGGGCCGTGGCACCAACTAAAGCCTTGACCTGATTTGGAAGCCATGGAAAATACCTAACAATGGCAGGAAGGGCCCTGTAAATGATTTCCTCTCCATTAAAATTGAAGTGATAAATCTGTTCCTTCAAATTGCAAGCTATTCATTTTTCCTGGAAGGTGCTATTAGAATAGCTGCTTCTGAATAAGGAATCCATCACTGCTCTTTTCTGCACAGGACAAGAGTAGCTTGGGTTGGGCTGGAAGGGATCTTAAAGACCATTTAATTCAGGACCCAGCGCCAACCGAAGAGAAAATGCATCTTTATGCCACGCTCAGTCATCAGAGCCAAAGCTAGATTCAGCAACTGGGCTGTCCAAAGGGATGGAAGCAAAGATCTCAGAGGAGGGATGCTCTGCACACCACGGAGTAGGACATGCCTGCCCAGTGAATCACGGCACGGTGCAGCACGCCCATCACATAGAAGGCAGAGGAAGTTGTTTGTTGGGGGATGTCCTGGTTTGGAGGATTTCCTGATTAACTGCATCTTTGGGGAGTGTGCCATAAGTGCACACTGCCAGCAAAGGCTGACCGTGGAGGCGCAGTGAGTGCGCTCTGGCCGTGAGCGCCGTGGGGATTTTTCACATGAAAGGAGTTGGGACACAGACAAGCAATGGGGATCAGTATGGTCACAGCTAAATATCATCCCTTCCTTAGTTTCCACTAAAAATTCTGACCTATTTCCCACAGGGCTGCCCTCCCACACCGCCCCGGGGACGCAAACTCCTGTGATCCCATTTGCTGAGGGCAAGTTTATGCGGCCCCTGTCCC